TTTTGTTCTCTTAGAGCCATTATATTAGCAAGTGATCATCAGAGCACAGCTTTCTCACATAGGGAGGTAAGTTCAGAAGGCACAGCATAGAGATGGCGTCGCCTTAAATGGTGTCAAACCACTCTTTGTATTTGAGGTAGGTCTGGCTGACCCAGTGTACTGCTCTTAGGGCATCCAAGGAGTTACTTTCATAAGATGAAAGCTGAGGTATCACCACCCGATAGCTCAGGTTCTGGGACAATGATGGTGGCTTGCATGGCAGTACATGGTGTGACTCAGGGTTTTGACTCTTTAAATCCAGGACAGCTATTTTAAGTGCTAGCTGAAACTAAAAGTAAATATTTGTCTTCTAGGGGATCCAGGTCTTTAATTCTTGACTTGTATTTGTAAATAACAGCTGCTGCACACACAAATCCAACATTGTCTCTCTGTTTACAGAACTGCAAAATAAAGCTATTAAACAGCCTTCCTTGAGTTGTCTCAGCAAAACAACACCCCACCCCCTTCATGAGGAACACAAATAATGAAGTTGGCTGCCCCATATGATTTGATGTGGGGCCTTACTTATCTTAGGACTGTAAGGATAGCCTGGTTACCTAATTGCACCAGTTAAAAATACTCCCTCTTCACTACATAAACAGTTTCTTAAAGATTATTTTCAATTTGTATTTTTGCAGGTTTTTGACACAGGACTCAGTATATAAACAATTGGAGACCACATTCGAGGTCCCTTACTATTTAGAAAAATGTCCACAAAACCAAATCAACCTCCTAATTTGTAAGGGAGTAGAAATTGATAAGAACTCTAAGGTTTAATCCAGATAAAGGACATAACTAAATGAAAAAGAAAGTATTCTGGTAAATTTTCAGGAGGCAGCCATTTGTTGGCCATGTTATATGGCATTATGTATTCTCAGGTTTGGAACAGAATGCTGCAGGAAGATGCCCTTCAAATTCAGCTTCCATTTATTTTGGCTGCAAATCTTAATCTCCTTATCAAGCAGGTATCAAGCCATCTGCTTCTATCCTCAGTAAATTTAGTAAACTCGCATTCAGTTTTGGGGCTAGAACAAGCAGTTTTCTTCTGTCCAGTAACAAATACACCTTTAAAATCCATTAGGTAAAGCTAGCCCAAATATTGGGAAGGTCTAATGAATGAAAGGACTGGCAGCGCGGTAGGGGTGGAGGAACTAAAATCTGTACAGGAATAAAAACTCAGTTTAAGGCTGTGGTGGGCTCCAGCACTACAATTTGTTTTTTGAGAAAGCTAGTCCTGAAAACTGCTAGGAACAACACAAATACCCAAAACACGCTGGTGTGGTTTGGTTTGCCTTCACAACAGGCAAACTCTCAAGACATTCAAAGATTGGGTTCCAGCAAGCTAAACGTGTGAAAAAGCAGCTGGCTATCTAAAGCCTATTCACATTTCTCAAGTTTTCATAGATGAGACAAGGATCTGCCTGTGACGGTGCGTTGCTGATCTGTCCTAGAGCACAGCCATGAATAACAATCCAGAACGAGGGGATACCATGTTCAAAAGCATTAACTGCTCAAGACAGCTTAGTTAGTATTTAATTTTTTAAATGTATTTTCTAAAAGACTTGTAGATTTGAGAGCTGAGAGCATGGAAGATGAAAAAGGAAAAGGCCATCCATCTTCTCTTGTTCACATGCAGAATTTAGGCAAGCTGCAAATGTATGCAATCACTACAGAAGCCCTGGTTTAGAGGAACCTTTCTCAAGCTATCAGCCTAGGAGCTGGGATTAATCTGTTGTGTTGTAGGGTTGGGATGATGTCCCAGGCTCTGAAGCAACCTCTTAACAGGAAAGGGGGGTGGGAATTATGTCGCTTGGGGTTGATGCACAGTGTAATGAAACAGCTCCAAATTGCTTCAGTAGTCTTTGGACCAAGCTCTCAATGCCAAGATTTGCTCCTAGCTTTCAAAAATGAAAAACATCCTTGCTTTTCTGTGGCACTATCAGTTTTGACAAGAACACTCTTTGAGAAACGTACTGATAGCTGTCAACAGGGGTCACTAATCAGACATTGATAAACCCACCCACTGTACATCTACAATGTGGGACAGTACATTCCAGCTCCTACATTTGAGTGCATAACATGAATACATCCAGACTGATGCTAAGCAAAACCATCCCCACTCTTTTCTGCTATCATTTCTGCAAGAAAGAAACCTGATTGCTGGAGTAAGAAGGAAGCTGCAGTGTGCTACAAGCACTGAGTGGAAAACATCTGCTATGCTGCATAGCTATAGCCATGCCGTACTACAAGGCCAAGGCATAGGAAGATGTAATCTCTAAACACATTATAAGCACTTGCCAGTTCCTCTCCCCACATATTTTAGAAGAAATATTTCACTGTTACACATTTTAAAAGTAATTACACCTTAATACAGACTCAAAAGTATTTATATTTGATTACCATTGTTTACCAATATATTCTTTGACCCATTCCAGTGCTGCCAGTTGTTTAAAGCTGGAAATGTTATGAACTGACTGAAAAAGCATTTTTATTGGAGATACATTTTGGAGCAGGTAAGAATAAAGGGCAATATGCTGGAAGGACTGAACACCTTGAGATGAGCACGAAGGAATTTCTGCCTTAAGCATGCCATTTAGTTCTCAAAGGGTTAAGAAAGGCCTTGAGAGGAGGGCAACAGGCCCTCCACATCTGTACATAACTGAGCCTCTAGAAATTTGCTGACAGAGGATAGAGCCCACTAAAACATAAGGGACTTCTGAGAATGCAAGATTCCAAGATGAATTAGAATATTACCAAGAAAGCACTGCCAGCATACAGGCTGAAGACACGGAATGAAATTTGGAAGCCCCACGGGGTACTTGGTATATTCTTTACTAACCGCAGTGGAAACATCCTTGTCTACTCCTGCGTGATTTACAAAATACACAAAGACAAACAGCCTGTGTGTATTATGTGAAGGGACTGCAAGCCCACACATTACTTGTCTTGGTAAGCTTTGAAGACAAACTACCCTAAAACCTGGGGGAGGGAGTATTAAAGTGCTGGGCTGTGATTTGACCTTCTCTAAATTTTACTGAGCATAATTTTAAAATACTAAAAGTGTTCCTAAGCAACTGCAGAAATGTCTCGCTGCTGTCTCCAATGCTCAAAAAAGAGGAGACTGAGCATGAGGGAGCCTCCTTACCAACCATTCCTCTCCAGATTATGAGATCCTGCTGCTACAGCCCAGATGCCCAGGACACTTTATTGATCGCAAAAAGTGGAAATCCACAGACTTTGGTCCAGCCTCATATAACAGACCACAAAACTGCTTCTGTCTTAACAAGTCGATGCATGGGGTAGAATGAAGGAAGCTTGACCAGATTCTGTACTTTTTCTTTCACAAGGTTGATAGAGACATATTCCAAATTTTCCCACACATATTCTTCATTTTCTAACATGAATTTACCAATAGAATTTCTCTCCCATGTCTACGCTGCAATGAAGCATTAAAAAAAATAACAGGAAAGAAAGAAAGAAACAAACAAAAAAACCCACCCAAAAACCCAGAGCACAAAAAGACCTTTAAGGAACCAAAGTTGTCCAGAGTAAATATATCCTATATAAAATTTGCTTATTCACTGTCATCAGTTCCACCTCATTCATATCATGCAGAGGAGGGAAAATGTTTTTTAAAGAAAGGATTGTATAAAATTGACAGAATACCTCCCACCTTTGCATGTTGCTTTCTGATAAGCTTTATGGACTGTTGTGTTAAAAATGCTCCTTTTGATCCAACTCCACTTTGCTTTTCAGAAGTTGTGAAATTAAAGGTTTAACAATGACAGGAAGGATATTTTTACTAGAAGTAGCAGACAGAGAATAAATAGTACCTCAACACAGACTTCTGGGGCTTGTACTTAACATAGTTTTAAAGCGGTTCTTCCTCTGACACATTTTTACTCTCCTTCATTGATTTTTTTTTCCCCTTAGCAGCAGTCATGAAGCTCCTCAGTCTAGGAGGAGTTAAAAGCAGAGGTATATTGAGCCCAATATGAGCCCAAGCAATAGCATAAGCTACAGCACAAAAGACATTTTGAGATTTTAACACACAATGTGAGCAAAAGTTGACTTTTTTAAGACCAGTCAATCTAGTATTATCATTTTTTAAACTGCTGATTCATAAAATACCCTACAGTCAGTCAACAGACACTTGTGGAAGATTTGCTTATAGGTATTCAGACCAGAGGGCCAGCAAATGAAAACACTGGTAAAAAGCAGATTTGTCTTCAAAACTATCTTTTGATAAAGGTGATGACAGATTCTGGCCCTTATTACAGTTTCGTTCACCTTTTCGGGTTTTACTAGTTAATTCCACTTTTAAAGCAAGATCGTTCAAGCTGTGATGATATAAACACGTCAAAGTTTGATTAAATCTGTGCTTTGAGAATCATTTAAAAAGGATATTGCACTCAGTAACTAATACTGCCCCTAGGCTTGCATCCCCCATTAATTGACACTCAATAAATGCTGTAAGCCCCTGTATCTTTGGAGGCAAAACTAAGATAATTTCTGAGGGATACCCTTGGCCAAACTTATTGCTGGCATAGTGCCATGGAAACCCACAAGGATAGATTTGATTTGCAAGAGCAGTATTTGCAAAATCTGACAGACATTTCACTTCCCCCCCTTTAAGCCATCTCTGCAAGAGATGCTTTATTTCAAGGAAGAAAAACAGAACAGAAAACCTTTGTAAATATACTTCTGTTCCTAACTTCTCCTAGACTGAGGAGCTTCATGACACCAGAAAGAGCTGTCACAAAAATACAATGGCAGAAAAGTTTTTCACTGAACACATATAACTCAACTACCAGTTAGTACCTTCTTCTCCAACATAGACTTTCAATCACTGAACTGCAAGGAAAAAAAGCCAGCAGCATCCAGCTACTGACAGCTAAGCTTTTGCTCACAAAACACCCCACAGATGTGACAAGTACATCCAAAAAAGCCAAAGAACTTACCTCCCACAGTGCAAACACAGAGCGCAACTAAGAAAAAGAAGGCAATCCCTAGGAGCTTCATGCTTGGTGGTGGTAGTGCTGTCAGCTCTGCCTCACACAGCTGGGCAGGGAGTGCTCTCTCACTCTGAGGCAGGCCTTAATTACTCCATGGAAAAAGGTGTGTAGAGACTGTGCCTAGTCACTGCCCATTCCTGCTTATTTTGGGGACTTTGATAAAGAACAGGAGGAAACACAACATACTCCCTCTGGGAGTTCAGTACGGAGGAGATTTATTGTTTCAGTCCTTACAGGAACTCCTTTTCTTTGGCAGTGAACCATGTTTTTGTTAATACATTATTTTGTTCTTCTTCGGCCATGAGGTCAGGAAGGTTTTTGAACAGAGGCAAATCTTTCTTTAGAATATATTATACATCACCAACTTTTATACTGTAGATGGGGATACTTTAAAAGGGGACATTTACGAGCAGCGAGGGAGCCCAGGTAGTGGGGTGTAACACAGCCAGGAATGAGGGAGTAAAGCATGCAACAAGAGCCCTCACCCGCCTCTCCTTTGTGTTGTGTAAAGTGGCCTTGGCAAAAACCAAAGCTGTTTCATGTTAAAGGCAGAGCGTGTCTCCCTGAGAGACCTGCCATCCTGCAGCCAGGAGGAGATGAGGGGCCACCAGCACAGGGTGAGGAAATGACTCCAGCAAGGTGCCTCAGCAGGGAGAGGCTCTGGGCTCCACAGAGTTAGGGATGGAGAGCACTGTCTTTTCCTCTTAATGAAAACTGGGTGCTTTCTTTTTCTTTTCTTTCCTTCCTTTTTATCCTTTTCTTTTTTTTTTTTTTTTAATTTGAAAAGTTGCAAGTAGCCTTGACTGTATCTGCCCCATTAGTAATGGACTTGCTGCAGAGTGAGCCTCCTGCCTGGGCTGTCTAATACTAAAGCCAGCATAGAATCGCTCTCTTCTCCTCAAAACCCACTGGTCTGGGAAACTTTGGTGTCCCTGCTTCTCACAGCCATTTCTCAGACTTCAGTGGAAGAAACCCAAGCAGAGCTCTAAAGTTAAAGGCTATCAAAACATCATCTTGTAATACTCCTGTGCTCTGTGCTTTAATGATTCAAGGCAGCTGATGGCAGTTAATCACAAAACCTCAACCACAGCGAGTGTGTGCTGTTGTATGTTTGCTTGTCTCAGTCTCTGTCCCCTCTCAGGAAAAGTTGACCCCACAAAATTCCCTACTCATTAAGCAGTCAACCCTACTTACTGTAGTAATTAAAATTTCTTTGGTTTTTTTTTGGTTGGTCGGTTGGTTTTTTTTTAGTCCCCTGAGGACTGTTTCTCTCTATAAAGGGAAGTTTTGGAATGGCTTTTCATACAGGAACTCCAGGGAGCTAAGTTACAGTGCTTCCAACAACGGTACTGTTTTATTCATGGGATGAGGAAATCAGTAGCAGCTCAGCATCGTGTGTGGAATAATTTTTGTTTAGTTAAAGAAATTGTCTTTCTACATCTTAAGGTTATGACACATCCTCTGCCCATTGCAGGTGACAAAAGCTGGTGCTCTCATCAGATATCTAATGGTAGGCAATGAACTTCTAGCACTTCATTTGAACAAACTTAGGTATAAGCACCCATGAGAGAAGCAAACATGTAAGTTCTCCTTAGCAAGACTGTGTTTTCAGCATCATTGGAAAGGATCACACAGTAATACAAACTTGACTCAGAGTAGAGGTGGGCCACATGATGACACTTTTGTCAAGTTGATAGGAGCATATGGCAGGGTGTTAGTGCCAGTGCTCTGCTTTTATGCTAGCTTTGTGCCAACATAGGACCTAAAGTTAGAACGGGCTAGAAAAGCAGCAACTATTGCAGCAGAAAACCTTCAAGCAAAAAGATAAATTTGAACACGGAGAGTGAATTGATCCCAGGTAATGCTATTGCTGATGAGATAAGAGGGACTTTAATCTTTTATTTACTGCATTTACAAACCACCGCTTGAAAAGTTAATTCTGAAACGATGCAGAAAGGAATATTATTTTATTACACTGAAATGGAACCTCTGCAAAATGTAAGAAGCCTGAGGACTGGATCTCTTCCTTGGGTTTTGAGACCCAGAGAAACTGTCTGAATATCTAAGAGAGTATTGATTTGGTTCAGTGTTGGTCATCTGAGTAGCAGCATCCCGAAGAGTTCTCAGTGTGCGGCCACTGCTGAAGATGATGACTGGGGTGGTTAGCTGGAATTCACTGTTGGCAGAAAGGGCACACAGTGTTGCAGCCTTGCAGCAGCTACCCGTATCACAGGGACAAGTGTGGAAAAGGGTCCCCAGCCTCATGTAAAGAGCTGGGAAGAAATGAAAGGGCCAAGTATCTTTGCCCTGCACTATGTCATGCATCTCGAGTTCTACTTCAGAGAGTCCTAAGGCTTAATGCCTTGCTAAAGCATCAAGAGAACTGTGTCCCAATGAGATACTCACTAGGATAAACATCAAAGGCAGCTAAATTTTGCTAGATCAAACTTGGTATGGGTAGCAGCAGCACAGTAATGAATAGTATGAATAGAAGGGGAACAGCTGAAATAACTCACTGAAAGCAAAACTCTGGCCAAAGCTGAGTGGTAGCTTCCGGGCTGGAGCATCTGAGCTGCAGAAGATCGATTCTCCCAACTCCTGTCAGTGGTTTTTATTTTTTTTTTCTTTAAGAAAACATTTAAGGTTTTATAAAATTTCAACAATCTTTGTAGCAAAAGATTATTCCTGTGTGTTCACTGAACAGAAGTCTTCTCTTTTCTCCCTATGAGCAAATAAGTTTTCCTTTATTGAAGAAATGTTTTTCTCTCTTTCCTCAAACTAAGAAACGTAGCTTCAGTACCAATGTGTGCTTTGTTTCATAAAGAGAAATTTGGTCATTGGTACTGCTGCCAACTGTGGAATTACTGCCAACTCTGGAATATCTGGAGTTTCACTTTGAGTCCCAGAACAAGTGACTGTGTGACACTCTCAGTTTCCTCGTTTTTTCAAGTGAGATTTTAGCCCTTGTAGTTGCAGAAGAAAACTTGAAACATGACCAAAGGGCACTCAAGAGAATGAAAGGACTCTCTGTTTTAAAACACCATTATTTTGCAGTCCAATAATGGCTGGGGTAGCCTGAGTTATATATTTACTTTTGCCAGTGTGGTATTTCATTATTAAAGGGAATCCATTTACTGCCACAGTGGATTTGCTGTTACAGATTTATTGGTCTCTGGCTGTATTTATATATTCTTTCCTAGTTCACATTGCTTGGAGCAAAATATTGCCTTTTTGTGCACAGTTCTCCTTTGAGGCTCAAATAATCCCCTTCAGATTTAGAGAATGTAGAAATTTTACGTATTGTTCAATATTCTTGAAGCACCACTGCATAAACCAGGAAATAATATGGACAGCCATGCTGCCTTGCTGTGGCCTACTGGCAATTTCCAATGTGTGCAAAGAATAAATGTCAAATTCTTTACAAAAGCAAAAATAAGAAGATGCAAAAGATAAGCAGTCTTTGATGGTTTACTAAAATGAAGAAACAAACATGCTGACTAAATTTGCAGGCCTTTCCCATTGCTATCCCTTCCACTGATGTTTACTTTAACTCAGCAGAATGGTACAAAAAGAGAAAGCTAATCTCAAACTCCTATTATCTTGCTACATCTGTATTTCAGCAAATATACATAAAGTGGTATTTTATTATAATTACCTACAACTTACCTATATATTTGGTTGTAGCCCCATAAAGAGGGTCAATTTACATTGAAAAATGCGGTTATAACAGTGTAGAAATACATTGTTTAGCCATGTTTTCTGTTCTTTCTTAAATTGTTTTTGAAACACTTGTTCACTTGTTTTCAACTATTACATATATTAAAATCTGAATATAAAGTAAAACTCCAATGAACTTGAATATATCAGTGTGAAGCCAAGATATTTCGATGGTCACATATAGAAGTTACTCTGAAAATTCATGCCGAGGGACATTTTAAATGCAGATATTTTATTCCGAATTTTTAATGGAAGCATTGAAACATCTCAGAGAATAGAAATGTCAGTGCCCAAATTCCCCTGCACTCAATAATACTAAAAATATGAAAGAGCAGGCTTGCAAATGTATTTAAGCACTTAAAAACCCAAGATAGGCACCTTTTCTTTGTAGCATGGAAATGTTTAAACCTCTTCGATTTGATTCAGAGCTAATTTGAAAAATTCCACTAAAACTCTTTGTGCCTAGATGCTTTTATGTAGGCACTAAAGACCAAAATGCATTTAGTCTGTATTCAGTACTCTTTTTACGAAAGATATTTTCAAGCTATTTCTAATAGAACTACTTAACTCTAGCTATCAGGTTTGAGTATTGTTTGTTTGCAATACCAACAGACCCTGTAAGGTTATTTTTACTGCAGAGCATGTTTTTCCTACTCTTTCATGACTGGGACTGTATAGATGTACTACAGAGAGTAAAATTATGTTCCAAGGAACTGGATCAATGTTTACTCACTTGCAATTGACACAAGTCAGGATCATATTTGTAGAAATGTGGTTGCCACTCTGCTAGAATGCTAGATTTCAAAGGATGTTGTATGTTTGAGGTATTCAGTAGATATATGTCACTGTCAAAAGGGTGCAGCAAATTTACTCTCCAGAGCTACCTCTGTCCATCTCTCTCTTACTGTATGCTTCCTTTGCTGCTGCTAGCAAAACAAAAGATAGAGTGCTCTGCACATACGTGCTTCATATTTCTGTTCCCAAAACTGTAGGTCCACCATCAGCCACAGTTTATTTCACCATCTCATGAGTCTTGAGTACCAATAGACAGTCTCATTTATGTATTCAGACTTTACTTCCTTATCCAGTAGACAATGTATTTCAGAATCATAGAATCATAGAATAGTTAGGGTTGGAAAGGACCTTAAGATCATCTAGTTCCACCCCCCCTGCCATGGGCAGAGACACCTCACCCTGGACAATGTCACCCAAGGCTCTCTCCAACCTGGCCTTGAACACCACCAGGGATGGAGCATTCACAGCTTCCTTGGACAACCCATTCCAGTGCCTCACCATCCTCACAGGAAAGAACTTCTTGCTTGTATCTAACCTAAACTTCCCCTGTTTAAGTTTTAACCCATTACCCTTTGTCCTATCACTACAGTCCCTAATGAAGAGTCCTTCTCCAGCATCCCTATAGGCCCCCTTCAGATACTGGAAGGCTGCTATGAG